TTGATTACACCTTCGAGTTTCAAAAAGACCTTAAAAGTTGGAAGATTTTTACACAGTGTGCAGAAGACATTTTGGTGTACCACCTGCTAGACAGGTGGTCGTCATGCAATATCAGTTAGCAACAAGAAACTCTGGCTGGGAACAAACCAACCAAGAGCCGATTGCTCAACAAATATGTAGGAGAAAATGGAGGTGGATTGGGCATACATTCAGGGGACCATCAAATGACACCGCACACAATGCAGGCCATAACTCGAGTTGAATCCGAATGGGAAACGACGAGTGGGTCGTCTGAGGGTGTCATAGAAGAGATCATGTGAAAAGGAGATCAGATATAATGCGCAAGCGTTAGGCCAGTTAAAGAGGACAGCACAGAATAGAATAAAATGGAGCCACTTCAAGTTGAAGCCTTTATGTTCCACTCGGAACCGAAGAGAACCATAATAATAATAATATATGTTACAAAGAGAATTCATATAACAAAAACTATGTAGTTCATCTTAGCACCCCATTCACTGACAATGATGATGATGATGATAAGACAAGACAATAACATTTCACTATTACCACTAAAAAGTTTTATATTCATAAAAAAAATCTTCAATAAATGTGCTTATTTGCACAATAAGGGTTCTAACTGTCTATAGTTTATTTGTTTTTGGTTTTTTTTTGGTTTTTTGTTGATTTAATCTTCACTCGCTTCAATGAGACACCACAACACATGAAATAGAGGTAATAAATCAATAAATTCTGCTTAAATAAACTAATCATGAAACTGTTGTTTAGTTGAAACACAAAATGAAATCATAAAAATGTTTATGATATTGATGTGAAAAAAGAAAGATATTCAATCACTACTTTATGTGAATACGGGGAAAAAAAACAATATACGTTTTTAACATCCTTTAAATGATTCAATGCCATTAACGTATATTTCATGTGAATGAGATCATATTTACAAGAAGAGAAAATTCGCCATCTTTTTAATTGAAACAATGTAACAAATTTAATTGAATTTTAGATTGTTTCCATCGATTGATTGGACCGAATTCGCTCGGTCTAAAATTCAGTTAAATAATTAATATGACCCGTTGCACAAGAGGTGGCTCTCGTGGATAACTCTATGACGTTCGTAACTATGGGCACTGGGTTTCAGCCTCAGTAGGAATATCATCACTCAGTGACTGGGGAATGCAGGTACATCCAGATGACGAGTCCCAAATGGAACGAAATGCGCGTTATCCTGGATTCCGCCGCTAGTCACCATCTACCAATTAACCTCTAATGTAACAAACTGATGCTAAGATAATGAAAGCCAACGACTAAAAGATTTTAAAGATATCATGGAGATTATAACAAGACATGAACCTATGGAATCTTATTCCTCTAGTGTGGAATGTGCTACTGACAATGAATTGATAAGTAGTATATTATGTGTGGTGTCTTCGACAAAAAATCGTCAGTGGTAGAGTGACGGTTAAGTTGCAGCGAGGAGAAATCAAACATGTCTTGTGAAACAGTACAGAAAGCATGAAAGAAGGACAAAAGAAGCACAATACGCAGAACATGCGCAAGTAGAGATTTCAATGCAAAGTTTCTGCATTTTGCAATAAATTGATATCATTTGATATTAGATGGTTGGAGGCAATCTCCAGGAAGCCTTCCAACTAGGTTTTATGCTAGCTGACAGTCACTAGTCGGCAAGGCGTATCTGCAACTTTGAAGGGACTCATGTCCCTTCTGAAATTCGACCAGTGCTGCCTTCAGTCAGTCAGAGACGTTACCACTAAGCTATTCAGGCTTGCCTTTTTACCAAATGCTACTGTGCTCTGCCAATAAGATTGAAGTCCTTGTTTTAAATTCAATCATCACTTAAGTACCTTGATTTTTATATCCTTATTGCATGCAAGTGTTGCTTATCTTTCACTAAGAATAAATAGATACCCTGTCTAATGACAGCAATGCAGTTTTACACTTGAATTTTACACCTGACATAATTGCCTTATTATGAGAGCCTTAGTGCTGTAGCGACTATATACAGTTGAAATGGTGCTGGGAACGTTCACCTTAAACTGGAAACATTTTAGTCAGTCAAATATCAATGATATAAGAATAAAATTTGTGCACTGTGGTAGACTATAATTCCATTATGGGTAAATTTTGTTTTGATAAAGTCTCGCAGTGTTATACAGTAATATTTACTGATGACAACAAGTTTCGAGCACAATTTATTGCTCATAATCATATCTGAGTGAGTTTGAAGGTGTAAATGCCACCCTAATTCCTGCTTTATTTAGAATCCTACGTACGGTCTCAGATGTCCCCTCTTTATATGGTATAACTGTAGATGACTTATATTCTCAGGGACAAGCTCTGTAGGTTAAAGGACCCTGTAGGTTGACCCAATTAGACAAAATAATATAATTTACAAAATACCCTGCAATGACTGTGAGGTCAACTAGATAGGTCAAACTAGTAGGTCAGGGGTAGTCAGATCGTCAGAACATAAGAATTTAGCTAAGGTAAGAACGGTTGACCCAGAGAAGATAAGTAATTTAGAAAAAAGCTCAGCAATTGCAATGCATGCATTAACACACAATCACACAATAGGGTGGGAGAGGGTTAAAATTCTAAAAAGTAATCTAGGTAGGTGGAGAGAGAGGTTCATTACTGAATCCTTGTTCATCGAATCTACACCTAACACATGCAATAGGAATGATTCATCACTTATACCGGAAATATGGAAAATACTACTACCAATCAAATCAAGTGAAAATCAAGTGGAAAACAACGGAACCATATAAATGAATTTAGGAAGTCGTGTGATTACCTTGATATTATTATTATTTATTATTGTATCCTTTAATTCATACAGGAACATAGGGCTTCAGCCGTGCGTCTCCATTGCGTTCTGTTCTCTGCTAGGGTCTTCACCTGGCTCCAAGTCTGCCCACACGTTTTCATCTCCTCTTCACATGACCTCCTCCAAGTCACCTTTTGACGACCAACTCGCCGCTTTCCTTTCGGGTTCCACTCAAGGGCTTGTCTAGTGTGTCATCAGTAAACATTACTGTATAACACTGTGAGACTTTATCAAGTCAAATATCAAACTGGAAAGTTGCTCCAATTTACATTAAATCATTTATACCAAGTATTGAGGATTTGATGGATCTGAGAAGCCACAGTAAGTAAATACACCTACGCCATTGAGAATGAACCTAAGCCACGTGACCATTGATTCTCAGAGTCTCAGGGACTCTAATCAGATGGTCTACACCTCCCTACGTGGCTAGCTCAAACCATTAGTCAAAGACTTCATGAATTGATGACATTTTTGACTTAGCATCCCCATATCTTTTCCAACCTAGCATTACTTGACGAAGAAGACGATGGTTTGACATTAGGGACTTATGTCCTAGTCATTTCAATTAATGCAGTTACACAAACCTATCAATCGAATCCTCCTCCTTACCAAACTCCCACTGTATTTTGTCTCCCCACACGGAAATCTTTAGTAAAAGGTGAAAGATTTATCCTCAAATGAGAAGACACCAGAGTCGCCCACCTTATTATACTACTTAATATCTCTGGTCAAAGCCATCCAGCCTCATCATATCTACCACTTTCAACGCACTAAGATAGCTGGATATCACAACCACGTCAAAAAATGACTCGATTAGGAAAACGCCTCACAAGACTCGTACATCTATTGCTGAGGTTTCGCTAGCAATCAGTCCATTACAGCTCGTACAACTTGCTAAATAAGCCAAGTGATCAACATGCAAACAATAAAGTTGGTATTTGTAACTCAAAGTAAAGTGAACAATCGATCAGACAAAAGAATAAAAATAATAATAATGATAAATTGACTGCTCAACTTGTTTATCACTTTTTTTTACAATATCAACTACGTGAATGCATCCACTGGTGTTTATGACAGCTGAAACGAATCACTAACACTAAATACAAAGGAGAAATTTAAATTTATGAATCGGTGAGTCATTCAAACAAAATATAACTGAAATATTTGCTTGAACAAAAGAAGACAATTCAAGTATTGGTTTGTAGGGATTTGGTTGACTGGTTACAGGATTTCATGATGAGCTGACATTAGTTAGAGGACCATTGGAAAGCCTGCAAGGAGTACCGCCACACAGCTGTTTCACCGTAGTTTGAGACTCTTCAGCAGCACGCACCCACCAGGGTTCGAACCCAGGACCTTCTGGTTACAAGGCCAGTGAGCTCGTATACCATTAAGCCACTGGGACGCTATCCAGTGGCCCATGAATTCTAACCTTTATATCGTGAATTGGATACGAGCTCGCCTTGCAACCATAAGGTCCTGGGTTCTTACCCTGGTGGGTGCGTACTGATGAAGAGTCCCAAACTAAGACGAAACAGCTGCCAGTACTCCCAGGTTTTCCTATGTTTTCTAACCAATGTCAGCTCATTATGAAATCCTGTAACCTAAAGAAGACAATGTTAGATAAATGGAATAATCCTAACAATTAAAAAACATATAAACTACACCGTTAAAAAGTCTTGTTAAAACAAAGAGCAGTCACCCGTCTACTTTACCTTAAATAATTACTTGTCTGTTGTTAAAGGGGTTACATAGACCACTTCCGAACTGTCACAAAACACCAGTGAATAAGCTTCATTTTGATTACCTATGAGAAACAAGTATTCAGTTGGAATCCAACAGACTGGTTGCGTAACTTGCTTGTTGAACACTGATCAGTATTAAACATCCACTGATCGAACTATACTATACTTACTTTACTTTAGTAATAATTCAAAATGAGACGCAAACATTATCAGACAAAATACTTTCTGGTATACTATCACTCAGCAGGCATTGTTAATTTCCCAACAGATATTGATTTTCTACTATTGTTTACAGTGAAATCAACGCCCCATATTAATTATACGGAAATATAAAAATGTATATTTGCAATAATAATGACAGGAAATTACACATATGTTTCCCCATGTCTTACCTTGATTTACGATGCCATTCAGAGGCTTGTGCTTCAAATTCAGAATTTTGATTTTGTACAAAACGAAACTGATTCACATAACCTGGTCGACATTCTTCTGGTGAGTAGTCACCCAATTCAGCTGTGAAAGAGAAGTAAAAAATAAATCAAAGTCGAAATAATCCAAACAAAAAATGAAAGTTAGGAATCATCCTCACAAGATCATATGGGATCAAACGGTAAATCTGAAGTAAAGGTAGGCTTAACCCAGTGCTAGTAAACCCTGATTTCGATAAAGAGTTAGATCTTACCCCATCATCAGACGATGAGCTAACTAGGTTCAAAACGACGCTAGTTGACAGCTGCCAACAATACAAGAATAATAGATATCAGTAAACAGTCTGTTATCTAAGCAACACAGAGAAGCTCTAAGAGACCTTAGAAGCAACGAAAGTTTAATTATTAGCAAGCCGGATAAGGGTGATGGTATAGTTTTACTGGACAAAAGCGATTATGTGGGGAAAATGGAAGGTATTTTGAGTGATCAAACTAAATTCCCATCTCTTGGTGTTGCCAAAGACCTCATTGTAAGAGCGGAGAAACTAATGACCGACTTCCTCAAAAAACTGAACCAAATAGAAGTATTATCATCAACCACGTATGAGTCCATGAAACCAACGGGTACCAATACTCCCCGTCTTTACGGTCGACCCAAAGTGCACAAACCGGGTCTTCCTCTTCGCTCTGTTTTAGATATGTATAACTCTCCATTTCACGGAACAGCGAAGTGGTTAGTGAAGATTCTGGGTCCTTTTCACAGAGAAATTGTGCAGCATAGAATTAGTGATGTCTTCGACTTTATTTCTAAAATATCCGATACTAATGTGAGATATAAACGCATGTTATCCGTGGATGTATCATCACTATTCACTAATGTACCACTTATGGAAACAGCAGATTATATTTGTCGAGAAATCACCGAAAGGCGATTCGACTTAGTAGTCCCCTTGTGTAGCTTCAAAGAATTACTTCTTAAATGCGCAATGAATGTTCATACTATCGACAAGTAGATGGAATAGCTATGTGTTCACCATTAGGCCCAATATTAGCTGACTTATTTCTCGCAAAACTTGAAAACAAGAAATTGAAGGACATCATCAAGGAGTTTGATATGTATTACCGATATGTCGGTGATACATTTATCTTAGCTGATGGGAATGTTAACATAGATGAATTGTTGCTGAAATTTAACAACATCCACCCTTCGCTTACCTTTACTTGTGAAGAGAAGCAGGAGAATAAACTACATTTTCTGGATGTCTTGCTAAGTAGGAGAGAAGATGGGTCACTTGGGAGAAGCATGTATAGAAAAAGCACATTCACAGGGCAATACACACACTTCCTTGGTTACGTGCCCATTTAATATAAAAGGAATGTTGTTAAATGTCTTGCAAGCAGAGCAAGAAAGATATGTACGGATGACCTCTTAGAAAAGGAATTTGAATATATCCACGATTCCTTGACGGAGATGACCTATCCTAGTAGTTTCATAAAGAAACATATGAAAACATCAGAGAAAAAACCTGAGACTCCGACTGCTCATAAAAAGCCTCTATTTATTAAGTTACAATTTAATGGTGACTCATCAAGTGAGATTTTATTCCAAAGACTTTCAAGGAGTATACGAAGAACATTTTACGCAGCACAGCTATGTTTGTCATTCTCTAGCCGACGAATGATTGGGACGCAAACGAAAGATAAGCTTGATAGTTTTGCCACATCTATGTGCACTTATCAGTTCAACTGCACCTGCGGTGACAGTTATGTTGGGCGTACTATTAGACAGCTTGGCCAACGTGTTAGTGAACACCTCCCATCGTGGTTTGGCGTACAACAGACAAAAACAATCCGTAGCTCAATTTTGTCACATTTAATTGATAGTGGTCATGTAGCGGAGAAAACGAGAGCCCTCAAAGTAATTCATCGTATCCCACCGAATGTTTCCAAAAGACTTCGCATTCGTCTACTGCACACCTGAGGCGATAGGCATTCGAACTATTAAACCTAAACTATACATTCAAAAGAGGTTCGTACAGCTATTATCCCTTCCTTGGCCTATTAAGACATAACCAACTAATGACTTCTACACCACCCCTTGTTTATATTTTCAACCCCTTTCTTATCATTCCTTAATCTTATCACATCTTCATTATAAACGTGTTTCAGTTACTTCCTTTACAATCTAACATTACTTAATCGGTTCATTTGTTTTTACTAGCCTTTATTGACTACTTCTACCTGAACATTTGCTTGTTTAATCATGCTGTTTTTCATTATTCGTGTTATCACAGATTGCCTCACTTTTTCATCCTTATTATTGATAAGACCACTATTATTATTATTATTATTGTCATTACTACTATTATGACTAATTTCACAATTTATATTCACCATCCTGTAGACAAAACACCATGATTGGTTTATATTTGAATTTTTATTTGTAAAGTTGTGTATATTAGAGTTAAGCCTGACAAGATCTAATCGAAAACAATATTGTTCGCTTAAATGTGTTGTTCTAAAAACAGAGTGACAGTTTATAGTCCTCTGATGATTTAGTCAATTGTTTGTGGAATTTCAAGTATTGGATTGTAGGGATTTGACTGATCTGTTAGAGAGCCATTGGAAAACCTGTAGGGAGTATTGGACAGCTGTCTCGTCCTAGTTTGGGACTTTCCTTCAGAGGGTTCTGGGTTCGAGCCCCGGTTGGTGCTTACTGATGAAGAGTCCCAAACTAGGACGAAACAGCTATCTGGTAGTACTCCCAGTTGGTTTCCCAATGGTTCTCTAACCAAGGTTTGTTGATTATTGAAACTAGCATAAAATTAGTCAAACGTAAAAAAACAACTGTTCTATGCACTATGCATTAACAAACACGTTTTGAATAAGTAATCTAATAGGTTGATATAAAAAAAAGCAACAAAAACAACAAAAAAAGACAAAGAGAACATCTTTCATGTGATAAAAATAAATTTAATTCATTCACACTCAATCTTGTTACTTCGCACAACTAATGCTCATATACATATGTGTGTGAGTGTGCATATGAGTGAATACACTAAAAGGCACGTGATCGCAACAACAAATGCACACTAGTACAAAATCAATTATTAAAATGCATCTAGATTCAGGATGAAAGTTGAGTTGTAGGTTATTTCAAACAAAAAAACAAAAAAGCAAATGTGTTTGCATCGAATCTGTACACTGGTGTAATAAGAATTATAAGGCAACAGAAAACTCGTGTGTGTGTGACATTATTAGGACCTCGAAGAATAGAATTCAGTCTGCACCAAACAGAGGACTAGACACATTACACTAGTTACCAACTAGTGTCCAATCAAGAAGTATTTAATACAGTCCTACAGGAGGTCAATCGCGAGCCCGAATAGCTCAGTGGTGACGTCTGTGACCGCAGGCTGCACTGGGTGACGCAGGTTCGACTCTTCGAAGGGATATGAGTCTCTTCAGGGTTGTAGATACGCCTTGTTCAGTGGTGAGTGCCAACTAGCACGAAGGCTTCCCGCCAATTGCCTGCAACTATCTAACAACAACAGTCCTCAGTGTACCGTGATGGCGAGCCACCTAGCCTGGTGGCGATATCTCGAACTTGACTGATAGAATTCAATCTGTAGTTACTTAACTAGTGTCCAATCTAGGAGCTTAAAGAAGCAAACAAGCTAATCTCAGAGATGATCCAAACACTTCTACTAATTCAAGTATTGGTTTGTAGGGATTTGGTTGACTGGTTATAGGATTTCATCATGAGCTGACATTAGTTAGAGAACCATTGGAAAACCTGGGACTACTGGTGGGTGCGTATTGTTGAAGAGTCCCAAACTAGGACGAAGCAGCTGTCCAGTACTCCCAGGTTTTCCAATGCTTCTCCACCCAATGTAAGCTCATGATGAAATCCTGTAACTTCTACTAATTTTCAACCATACATGCAGAACAATTCCTTTAAGATAAAAATATACTTCCTTTCAAAGTTGATTTCGTTAAAACCAACACCCCTAAAAACTAAAGATAATTGGATAGTTGTTTTACACTAATTTGAAGCACGCCTAAAACCTTTTCTTAATATTTTCTCTATGCTTCAAAGTTTTCGTAGCGATCAAGTTGTTTTTCGTGGATTGGAGTAGCTAGACCCACGCTCAAACTCCCCTCTTTTGCTGAGCTGAGAACTGGTTAGTGAACGAGATGAAGGATCCTCAAATTACTAAATCAGCACGTTGCCGTTTAGCTATTAATCAGCAATCCATTATTTTACTTGGTTTCTTAGCCTCCATTGACTCCCGAGTGATCTAACTGAGTGGTAATGTGTGCTTGTAACCTTGTAAGGCGACAAATCTCAGCTCATCTGCCTATAAGGTTGTAAGGTTCCCATTGCTGAAAACTTCCAAATCAGGACAAAACTTTTATTCATTACGCTTTGATTTCCAACAGTTCTTACAGACAGTTCACTTTTAATCGACAAATTGAATAAACCACTACAAACTTTACAGAGAGAAGGGCAAGTTCTAAGAAGAAAAATTGTATATTCAACACAAGACATGGTACACAGGCATCAGATAATTTGCAGAATAGTAACGGAAGTACAAAAACGGTTGAAAATTCTCCAAGTGTTTAGTGGTCACCTGTAACAATAATTGGGGTCACGAGCGAGTAGATGTTAACAAAACACAGGCAATCAACCAATTAATAGAGAAAAAATTACGTCTCATCCGAGAGGTTAACATCGTAAAGTTCCAGCTCAATGTACTATGCAATTTTGAAATGAATAATAAGCTAAGTGAGTCATCAGTTTTCTCATCGCCACTGTCGTCCTTTGCATTTCAAGTCGAACATAGTGCACCAAGCTTGAAGTTTCAGTAGCAGTAGTGAGGTGTTTCATCGGTAGGTTTTCTAGCCTAACGCCCAACTTTTTCTCTCTTCCGGGATTACTGTCGGCTAGTAAACTCAGCGAAGTTTAGAAGTGCGTTATTTGAGAATGGAGCTCAAACCTCTCGCATGGCTGGTGAGTATGACATTTTTTCGATATATCCTCACTTTGTAATATTCACATTATCGTATTCTTTTTATTGTCTC